AAAGTTTGTCCACACTTTTCAGGTTTCTATTTTAAAAATCATGTAATTTTTGTTAAAACTCTCATTTATACGCGGCGGGGTTTTTATTTTAGCAGTATCACGGATGTGGATTTTGTCCCAGTTTGTTCACATATTGTCGTTTTGTCAGGTCCAGACGTTGTTCCTCCGGTTGCCGTTTCAACTTCTGCCCTGTTGCCCTTGACAGTTGGCGGTTACCACAGCAACCGGCCACTGACAGCTCCTACCCCCATTTTGTGTTGCCGTCGGTAACCGCGGGGCAGAGGTTGTTTGACTGACAACAAACACCAACCTGATTTTCTCACTTATTAAAATAATAACAGTGAGCCAGAGTGTCTGTTGTGAAGCCAACGGACGTATTAGTTACATAATATACATTTATGCATCTGTATTTGTTTTGATTTTATAAAATTTAAACAGTATAGTGAAGCTGAAGGATGTCATGAACATGACAAAACGTGGAAATACTTTGGCACAATACTTTAAGTAAAAGGAGAAAAAAAGAAGTTTATGAACATTTAAGGTTATTTTGTATCTCTGGCTTTTATATAAACAATCCTTCAATGATTTGATAAAACAGAAAACATGCTTTTAATTTTAAAAATATATTTTTATAGTAACTTAATCCAATTATTTGGGTTGATTGAAAATTGTCCTTATGCCTCTTGTGACGATACTTCAGTTTTCCTTCACTTCTCACTTTAAGCTTGTAAAATGTTTCCCTCAAAGGCCCATTTTTGTCGTTATTGTTTCGCCTTTGACTGCAGAGTCACCCAGAGGCTACAGCAGCCATGTTTTCACCAACCTTTGATGAACTAAAGAGCTTAACATAGATCTTGGAGAGTGGCAACATAAAATTGAATGATAATTGCATTATGCGCTCTAATGGCAGCTATTACAACAATAGCGTCGGTGACCTGGAGGTGTGGGATGAGAGGGAGGAAAGGCCCTCTGCGCTGACCTCTGCTCAGGAAAGGGCAAGCTCGGGCAACAGTCGGGGCGTCAGAGGCCCCGCCGCCTCGTCTGCCACTCCGAAGCTTCAATTCAGTGGCTGACACAACGGCCAAGCATCGCTGTGACCCGGTGGGTGTGACACTCAACCTTTGCCTTAACCTCCTGACCGCCAGTCACAGCTGCAGCGCGAAGGTCAGGGTGCAGGGTCGACCAAGGGGGGGATTGATGGGTGAGAGATGAGCTGGGAGAATATGGAGGGGCAGGAAATTCAGAAAAAACACTGGAAAATGGACAATTGAGTGAGAGGCAAAGAGAAGGTGACAGAAGAGAGGAAGCTGCGCTTCACTTGCAAAAGATTAGAGAAATTCAGTCAATTGGTGGAATCTAAAGAAAGCAACATATTTTCACATTTATTTATAATTCCTACTGTCTGAAATACTAAAGGTCATGGATTTACCTTTAACTTTTTTAAAAATTACTTTACATTTTTTCTTTGTACCCAAGTAAATGTTTAACTGTAATCTGCAGTGGGAAAAAGTTCTTTCTTTTTCTTTTGGTTGAGTTGACCTTTTAACTGAACTGTCAAGCGTGAAAGGCGAAGAACGTGAGACCATGGAGGTGCAAAGGAGGCAAATGTGCTTGGCGTAACATTTCGTGTGAAGATCAGCCATTGTTGCGGGCCCCTCCCCCCTGGCGCCGTTGGAAGGAAGGTTTTTATGGGAAAGGGAACATGTCCGCTGTCACCTGCCTCAAATCATCTGACGGTTCATTCTTTATTTAAACTGCATGACAGTTTTATTTAAAAAGAGGATTGTGTCTTATGTTTGAGTTTTGCTGTTTCTAACGGTCAGCTCTCTATTGTTGTGCTGCTGTTTTATTTTCTACATAGGCTCAAAAAGGCAGATGGTACAACTGCTGCTGGTCAGAAAAGATTAGAAAAAGCAAAATTCTCCTTTTATGGCAGTAACGTAGTTGGAGCTGAATTAATTAAATGCAATCTCTAATTTGACCACTTTTCTAGTAAAACCTTTCTTAAATTAATGAATCAAAATAATCAGCACCATGGCTTTTTTGTTTAAGTATATTTTACTTTTTTACATTAAATAAAGTGACTAAGTGACTGGGATATTTATATGTTTTTAAAGAGAAACTCAGTTTTCTAACACTCTCTGCCAAATAGGAAAGTCAAGAAAAGAGGCCATTCAAGTAGCTTTTGATATGTGTTATTGTTCAGGTCTGGTGACAGCAATGCAAAAGTATCTGTCTGGAATAATTAAGCAGTTTAGCACCCACTCACAAGTGAGTCTGTGTTAAACGCACGGGTGTTTACAGATGCACTCTATAATAGGCTGCAGTTTCCACTAAATATCTACTTTACTACAATATGTTCCAAATTATTATGCAAATTGGATTTAAGTGTCAGAAAGATTAAATTTTTTGTTGTGGTATTAAATATATAGATGGTATTGTCTTTGAATCACTATAATTAATTTCAGAGAGCTGGCTTGATTAGTTTGTCTGCAGCTCAATTAAAGGAAATCTACTTAAGAAGGATGTTCCACATTATTAATCAGGCCACAGGCTTCAAGCAATACGGGAAAGAGAAAAAAATCTCTCTGCTGACGAACATCATCAGATAGTGTAGTGCCTTATGACAAGGTATGAAAACATTAGATATTTAACGAAAACTGAAACGTTATCATCGTACTGTGAAGAGATTTGTGGCTGATTCAGAACAAAGATGGGTTTATACAGACAAAAGCACAACAAGGAAAGTTTCTGTTAGACAAATTTATCTGATTAAGAGAGCAGCTGTTAAAATGCTCTTACAAAGACGTTTTTTCTTTCTTGTTTATTTTCTTTATGTATAATATAATGTACATACACATACATATGAATAGTGCTCCTTTTATTCTTTATTAAAGCATAAATGTTTAAATTTAATGTCTGCAGACTGTGAGCACTTGAAACCAAAATAAAATTTGTCTGTGCAAAACATTTTGGCCAATAATGGTGATTCTGATGCCAGTTGAAAGCCTTTTCTGTCTACCATCCTGAACATAAACATGTAGAGTTCTTAATCATTTCAAACCAGTGTTATGCAAAAAAATATTGCATATAATATGTATGATGGAAGCTGTATAGTGCTGTGGGTCAGTTTCTCCACCAAATGGCTTGGCTTGAAGTTTTTATCTGAAAATCTTGTGGACAAAAAATTGGTTGTGATTTGGTCCTTTTAGCAGGATGGTTGGAAAATCACCACAGAAATGGTTCATTAGACACAAGGCCATCACAGCGAGTTTAATGCCACTGATTTGTAATAAATATTTGCAATAAATGATTAATTTATTTGGAGGTTGCCTTCCTGTAGTTTTACCAGTAATACTAGAAGTGCTACAAGTATTTACATATGCAGAATAGAAGAATAAGTGTTTTTAAAAAACATAATTTATACATCAGATTTGCACATGTAACTTATGTGAACAGCTTGTAGCTTTTACGGATCTGTCTTTGTTTTATAAAATCGTCTCTTCCTTCCTCCACTCTGCTCCTTCCTCTGCAGCTTTGGCTGCTTCACTCTGGCTGTGTTGACTCTCCATCATGGCGGCGACCTTCTGCTCCAGCCGCCACACCTGCTCCCGATACTTCCTGCGAATCTGCCTGTAGGAACTCAAGGCTTTACTGGAATAAAACCATCAAAATCCGGATTAGTTCATTCATTTCATTAAATTTGTACTTATAATAACAACCTGATAGGAAGGGCAACACATAGGGAGGGGAAACGACAATATTATGTAGTTTCACAGTCAGTAATGTAACCCTTCTTATGCCTTGAACAGTAAGAAACACTGAAAGTATTAAATAATAACCCCTAGTAGGGTTATATAATACTCTTACCTCATTAAAAAATTTTCATTCTTAAACTGAGATACCCTGAAAACAAATAAACTAGTAAAATTCAGCTGTAACATAAAGACATATCTGATAATTATTTCTTTAAAATGTCTTTAAAATAACCTATTTAAAAGTACATAATATTAAACCTCTCTCTAATCCTTTTCAGCAGAATAGTGGAAAGACCATATTATGATTTGATTTCTGGAACATTGTACAAAATGTACTGAACAGAAAAAGTACTGACACTTATAAACAACCACATGCCAATGAGATTTCCTTTGATTAATTAAAGACAAACAATTACTAGAAAAACACAAACTGCAGTGATGTGTAAGAAATGGTTATAAAATGAATACATCAAGTTTCTATAGTGCGGACATAAGAACATGCCTGTAAGAAATATTGATATAATCAAACTTTGGCATAATGATCATCTGTACAAGGGTTTTCCTATCAGAACTAATAAATTATGATCACCAGCGTTGGGTAGTAACTAGCTACATTTACACAATTACATTTACTTTTTACTATGCTGTACTTTTACCTCAACTTCAGTATTTTAAAATAAAGTATCTCTTTTCTTACTTGAGTAAAATTTCTGGATTTTCTACCCACTAAATAAAAAACAAGCATATTTAAACCAAAATTTTGCCAGGCACAGACACACACCTCCAGATTATGTTACAGCTTCATAAGTTTTTAAGAAAAGAAACTGATAACTTTATATTTTGTTCCATCCGATTATGTAAGTTTTAGATTTGAAATGATTGATAAATTGATCAGTTACTTTTTTACTCTTACTTGACTCGTTTTTTGGATGCTTTTTACTTGTGCATGAGTAAAAATATGTTGACGTTGTGCTACTTTTACTCTAATATAATTTTGTCTCCTCTGCCGACCTCTGATGACGATACAGGATGTTGAGTTTAAGTTGTGAAAAAGACAGATAATTGTCACGTCAAATTCCCAGACATTTATATCCAATCATTTGCTGAATTTCTCCACCGTCCCGGCTTGTAATGTTTGGGAGTAATGGTGATTGTATGTAAGCAGTTTGCTTAAAGTGAGCAAAGTGTCCATGTTTACCTGTGTGCCTGTGTGAGGCGAGCGATCTGCTCTGCGTTGTCCTTCCTGTGGGGGGCGCCGTCTGCGAGAGCCGAGTTCAGCGAGTCGTGGACCATGGCCAGCCTCCTCTTCAGGGCTTGTTCCCTGGCAGATAAAGAAAACAAGTGGATCAGAAGGTAACTCAGTTAACAAAAGATGTTTGCAAACAAAACAAGAGAGTTGTTTTCTTTACTTCATCCTTGGCCTGACAAGAAGTGTAATTTAAAATAAAGTGTTTATCTCTCAGGGGTAGAAGAGAAAGAGGAAGGACTCTGCACTATGCTTTATGTTAAAGTGTGTTAGCTAACTACAGAACAAAACCCAGCATCACTGCATGTCACCTTTTTTATTCTGGGAACATCACTCCTAACAATAGTTTCCTTAAACAACAAAAAGGTCCGGTCTCACCTCTGTAGGACCGCCTGCAGCTCTTTCAGAATGGGTCGGGTCAGAGAACTTGTGATTTCACTGTCAGTAACAGCTTTGGTAGCGTTCTCACCAAACCTCTGAAACATAAATATGATGATGAATGGAAAAAACATCTAAAAACATCAGAAATAACAATTCCTGTCAACAAGTCATTCCAGATTCACAGCAGAAATTTGGCTCCAAACCCATCGGATGCAACCGTCCGTCCGTCATTTTAAAATGATATTTGTATGTAACATTTTGAGGGAATGGATAAATTTACATAATTTGTAATAAGGCTGAAACATTCTGTGAATTATTTTTTGAGTTGCTGTATCAAATTCATAACTTGTCCTCAATGTCAGTCATTCATGCTGGTTTTTTCTGTCTTCTGACAGACGGAGGCGAGAGGTGCGGCGTGACTTCCTGCTGCAGGGACAGGACGGCCGAGCAGAAGACCTTGAGGAACTAAAATATCTGACTCGGCCTGGAGGGATTCTGCTTTGGAAGACGTGATTTCCCAGGTGGGAGAGCTGGATTTGAATTGGATCTCTCTCATGAACCCCTACTCCCTCTCGGTCCTTTCACCTTGACTTTGTATTATTTGCTCTTTTTTTTTTTTAAATGAAGTCATCGTCGCAGCAGTTGGAGCCCTTCATACCTGTTCGGTCTTACGATCTTCAGCCTCGTCTCTGAGGTTTTCTGGGATGAAAACTCCAGCTGCTTCCTGCGGCTTCTGTCCCACTAAGCCCCATTCGAGACATCGCAGCTCCTTCTCCTTCAGACGGATTAAAGCTCGAAGATCTGACATCTCCTCCTGGACAAAGGCAGTCAAACCACAATCTGAGATAAACAAGGACAATTCATGGCAGCATAGCTTGTGTTAAGTGGCACAACTAAAAACTTTCATAGTTAAAGGAAGCCAGAAAGTAAAAATCTAATGTTATTTTTGACTTGGACAGTAGTAGAACGGTAATTTGTAGTTTTTATGACTGCTTGCAGCTCCATTTAGTTTATAAATATAAGTGCTTCAATTGGTTGTGAACAACCAAAAATATTGTTAAATATAGTTAATACTAGGATTCCTGTCTTTTAGTATTCATTAAACTGGTGTTGTTGCTAAAGTGCTGTTGTAAAAGTGTTTTAGTGTTGAATATGTAATAAAAACAGCTGATTTAGAGGAGAAACTGAGCCTATTTTCACAATAATCAGGCTGTAGACCAGTTTTTTTTTCCTTTTCCTAACTGTTGGTATTTAGTAATCAAAAGATTAGACTGCTACTTGTAAACGTGTTCATTTAAAAAAATGTTGTTAAAAGTTTTGATAAGATGCAGCAGTAAATGAGCTTTTCACAGCTTTTTGTTACTGTTTTGATCAATTTGCATATTTTTGTGCTAAGTAGGCTGCCAAAAATGATACAAAACAGGCTAACAATAGCACATTTCTTACCAGTGTACACATTTAACCACTGAGCAAACAAAAACAGGGTTTGCAGTTCTGCTCATTCTGTGTTTTTAATGAAATAAAAACCGTTAGCTGCTGCTAAAAAGCCTCATTTATTGCAAAAACTGGACTCGAGAGATTATTGGATCTCTAGAGTCTACTATTCTGTAGACTCTACAGAATAGTGGTTTCCAGGTGAATTTTGATGATTTTTTCCAATTTCGACTTTGGAATCTCTTAGTTAGAATTTTAACAAACCTATCAAGAGAAAATAATTGAATTGGATAAATATAGTGGGTTCTTTTTGCCTTGAAAGTTGGAGCACAAATATTGAAATTATGCCTCAATTAAATGTGCTGCTGTGTAAAGTCTGCTGTTATTACTCATTTTTAGTAATAACAGCTTAAAGAATGTATTTATCTACACTGAAAGACAATCAAATTGTCAGAGGTGCTAATAAAGAGTTTTTACCAGCAATGTTCACTTTGTTTTCAACACACTGCAGTCATTTTGAAATTCAAATGCTCAGAAAAGTTTTAATGTGCAAGTTTGAGTTTTGTCTTTTGGGGAAGTTCTTATTCAATTTTCAAAGTTTTAATAAAAAATGTATTTGGCAGTTAGACTATAATACAGTCAGAATATTGGCACTACAAATAAAACAGTAATAAAATGTAAATGCGACTTGTTACTCTTCCTTGCAGTCTGAACTCAACATAATGCATAATTATAGAACCGTAAATCTATGAAAAGCAGAAGTAGAACCTCCTGCACAACCAACAAGAATGCAGCAAGTGGTTTCTGGATGTTATGTAAGTCCATAAAAGAAATTGTTGTCTTTTCCAGAAGCCATTGTACAGCACATCCAGTGGTAAACCCAGCTGAACAAACTGGAGCTCTGCTTGGGTTCTGAGGTTTCTACAGGTAATGGGTCGTGCCTGCTCATTTGTGATGTTCCATTGAGAAGGTTTTTGAAACGACTCATTTTTCCAGACACCAAACACATTAACATATTGCCGAAAGATGGCTGGGTAGTTTTATTAAGCGCTTGGGTTGTTTTCAGAAAACGAAGAGAAATTGAAAAAAACAAAAAAACTTGCAAAATGTCATTTTAGTATAATACTGCTTAAAACTAAGCACTGGGTTTTGAAACTCAAAGCCAAAATATTTGTTTATTTTTGCAGTAATAAAGAAAACTGACTTTTGTTAAAAAACAAAGACAAATCTCCTACCCTGACTGAGATCAGCTCATAAAACAGCGATGCTTTCTCCCTCTTGCTCTCCGGAGGTTTGGTGTTGTCCTTCATCATGTGGCCCCATCTGGTACCGACCGGTTGACCGGTTTCTGAGCTCACTCTGACCTCAGCTCCTGTACCTGACTTTGCTGGGCAAATGGCTGCCCGTTCCCTCTTCAGTCGCTCGATTTGTTGTCGGAGAATTGCTTCCCGGTCTGCTGGATCTGGAGTTCTGTGGCGGTAACAGATTTCGTCTTGTTAGTACATATACAATATATCATGTCTGTATTTCTGCATCTTGACAAACGTCACCTCTGCCTCGTGTGACTCTGGGTTTCCTCTGTGACTCCAGCTGTGCAGAAGGAGGTGGATAACTCCTCAGTTCCCATCTCCGGGTTCTGAGCTGATTGCTGCATGTCGCACACCGGCTCTGGTTGGAGAAAAATGTGTGATTCAGAATCAAAGTTGTTGTTTTTTTTTTTGCATAAAACTTGATGATCACCTGCTGAGTGTATCTGCAGAGAGGGGCTTTGCTGCAGCTTTGCTTCATAAAGAAACAGCAGCTCACCGTAGGCCTCCTCACACTCATTGCTGTCGGACAACAAACAGGACAGAACCTCCGCTCAGAATATTTGTGCAGGCAAGTTTAAATGTTAATGTGTGATGTGTGGATGATAAATACGAGTATCTAAGAGCCATCTGCAGGGCAGAGCAGTCAGACTCCAGTCGGCACAGTTTCATACTGATCTGCTCTGAATCCACCTTCCTTCGCTCCAGAGCTGCAGTCAGACGCTCGTTTCTTGCCTTCAGCCTCTCAATGCATCTGAGACAACAAGAGGCTGGATTTAAAGCTTTTAACTGGGTATGGATGATATATCAGCATTAACATCGATATTAGTGATGATAGTGACGCTTTAACACATTATTATCAGTAAAACTAGGCTAATATTAACAAGTAAGTGATGCAGCTCAGGATTTTGGGCGTTTAAAGCAGAGAAGAAACATCAGCAGATGTTTTTTCACAGTGTCAACAGGGAAATACAGACAGCTCTGGAAAATATGAAGAACTGAAACCCATTGAAAACCTCCTGGTTCTTCCACCAAATATTTATTTCTGAACTCTTCCTGAGTTAAAACATTAATATTGTTGTTTTCTTTTCATTATTTGAGCTCTGAAATCACTGCATCTGTTTTTGTTATTTTGACCATTTCTCATTTCCTCCAAATAAATACAACATTTTTGCTTGGAATTTTGGAGACATGTTGTCAGTCGTTTATAGAATAAAAGAACAATGCTCATTTTACTCAAACATATACCTGTAAATAGTAAAATCAGAGAAACTGATCATTTTAAGTGGCCTTTTAATTTCTTCCTGAGCTGCAGATACAATATATGATATACAAAACCTAAAGGGAAGTACCAAAATTTCAATTTTGCATACAATATTCACTTTAAACCTTCATTCGTTGCTTTCTGTAGATACAAAAATGTCTGTTCCAGTTTTTCTTACATATAGAAAAATCTCCACCTTTTAAATATCTGGGAAAAATTTAATGTTTTAGGTCACAATATGTGAAAGATATGTTGGAAAAGCTACTATGGGAGCAACAATCAAACTTTTATCTGTAAAACACATGTTCACATGCTGCCACATCAGAGTCTTCACATGTGAGACAAATATGAAAACTTTTCACATGTGGAAGGAATCCCTACATGTAGTTAACATGTAAACAATATAAAGCTCTAAAACATTAAGAGAACACTTAAAATGATCAGTTTCTGATCATGTTTGGGTAAAATGAACATTGTTCTTTTATTGTCTCTGATACTCCAAGCCAAAATGTTGTATTTATTTGCAGAAAATGAGAAATGGTCAAAATAATAAAAAAGACACAAAGCTATCAAACAATGCAAAGAAAACAAGAATATTAATGTTGTTACTCTGTGAGAGTTCAGGAATCAATATTTGGTGGATTAATCAGGAGGTTGTCAATGGGGTTCAGTGCAGTTGGGCTCCTCATTTTTTCAAGAGCTGTATGTCATGCGTTAACCTGACATACAGCTCATCAGTAGAGGTCTATTATATGCAAGATTTCCCCAAATGTTTCACACGTCAACACGCGTCATAATTTCTACATGTAGAACACATGTTCACATGTTTCTACAGGACCAACCAAGCTGTGTTTCAGAGTCAGTTTACAGCTGTTCTGTGTTTTGCTCTGGCTTGTTTCTGGCAAGTCTTGGTCTCACCTGTTCAGTCTGTCGGTCTCTGATTCCAGGCTGATGGGGCTGGGGCAGGGACTGCTCGGGGTTACGCAGCCCAGCGGAGTCCCGTCCCCACCCAAAGACAGAGGAGTCGCAGCTCTGGACGTTTTTCTGTGGAGTAAAGGTGAACCGGGGTAGGAAGGAGGCGGTCGGTCGGGGCTGACAGCTCCTGAAGGAGGCCGGTAAGAAGGTGAAAACCTGTCAGACCTCCAGGCCTTGTGGAGACCAGCCAGGTGGAGCACCTAAAAGACCCCAACTCAATTTATTCTGATTCTAAAACCTGTAAAGCAATGAAACAAAACAAAAACATTTTCCCCACCTTGTTTTTCTCATCTTCCAGTGAGTAAATGCTATTTGGAGCTCTCTGCAGCTCTTCATTGTGACTCTGCATGTTGTTCCTGAGAACAGACTCGTGTTTTTCCAGATCCAACAAGCTGTCCAGGTTCTGGTCCTTTGGCATTCCCACAGAACATGAGATCCCAAAGTCTCTCTCCATCTCCTCCAGCATCTGCAACCAGCAGAATATATTTACAAAACTCACCAGTATTTGTTTAAATTCACGGCTGCAATAACAAATATTTTAACCAGAGGTGGGTAAAAAAACAAGAAATGTACTCAAGGAAAAGTAAAGTATTTGGTAAAAAGGTTACTCAAGTAACTAACCAAAGCATCAATCAATTAATATTTAAAAATAACATCATCAGACAAATCAAAATAGAAAGTTTTTGGTATTTTAGATCAAAATGAAAATAATTTATTTTAATAACACAATTACA